CATATTGAATTTGTTCAAGTGATAAGCAGCAGTTTCCACACTTGCAGGTACTCCAAGGAAGCAGACGTCTCTGTCAGCCCAAATTGTCAGTCTGTCTCACTCGTACCCCAAACTGAGAAGGGGCTAGGGCTTGCACTGAGGCYGTGGGGAACCGGTGTAGGAGCTGATATCTCAGAAGGCCAAGATTTTTCTTGTCATTAATTCTATCAGGTAGCCCTACTTCCTGCAGACATGCAAGATGCTGCTTCACGGAGGGGCATGTTAGTTTCCACTCCTTCCAAGAAGTCAGAAAACATAAACAAATACTACAGGTTCAACATCAAAGATTGTCTCTGAACAGGCTGAAATCTTTGGGAGCTCCTATCCTACTGAGACATATATAAAAAACTAAACTAAACTACAAAACTAAAATACATACAAAAAATCAGAGTGTTAACCAAGAGTAAGAACGGTCTATTATGTCTTCAATATATATCTAGCTCACATATCTTGTATAACAAAACATTTAGAACAAATGAAGTTTTTAGATTAGATTCACATCAGTTATACTATTTTTGGACATGAAAAATGTAAGAAAAAGTATGAAGACTGACCTCTTAGTGCCAAACATGATGGTCGGGTGGTTTGCTTCACATTTATGAATGTACTGATCTGCACAGGTTGTTTTTGTAGACCTGGATGAGAAGAAAGGGAGAATTTTTTTGATCAAGTAACTTAGTGTCTGGATATTAATATCCTGAAGTATATTAGTAAATACCTTCCAAAGTAACTTCAGAGCAAACCTATTAATTTCAGAGAAACATAAAAATGCATATGGTTAACAAATCTAAACCAGTTCCTACTGGTACGGGTTAAACCGGAAGCTGCTAGGCAGATATACAGCAAAAGACTTTAGTATAGCAGTATCTGATAAAGCAGGATCTAAAAGCCCCTATTTCTGAAAGGGAAATTTACGTGCCTGTGTAGAATACTCATAGCACCTAAACAGTATCTTCTTGAACTGCCCTTCTGGACATAGCTACATAAAAATAAATCTAACTTACATTTTGGTGCTTAAGTAGTTTGCTGAATGCCTACTTCAGTAAATAATCATTATTAACATCAATGAGAAATTTCATGGAATGAGGCTACTGGGTATCGACCTCAAGAAATAATATTATTTGAACAAAAAGTAATCCCAACGTTTTCATAGAAAGACAAATCTGTAAATATTGTAGGATAATGTAGATTTTCTGCAGGAACCCATCAATGTCCTCTTGATGTTCCCTGATGGTGCACAGCCTGTCCACCTCTCCCAGCACCACAGCTCCTCCATCATTCCCCACAGGAGAGCCCTCACTGCTCCAGGGGAAGCTTCCAGGGGAAGCGCTCCAGTGCGGAAGAGCCCTCACAGCTCCAGGGGAAGCCTCAAGGAGCTCTGCAGCCTCACACCAAGTGGCATCTTTGCCCAGAGTGCCCTCTGGGCCAAGGCACCAGCTGGTGCCAGCACGTGGCAATCCTGAGCAGAGATGCCAGGCTCTTCCATGCAACCTCCATGCCTGCYGCTGCTATTGCCCTCTGCTGCTCTCTGACCTCGACTTTCCCAAAGCAGGAGTCAGCCTTTCCCTGCAGGAAACAAGATCCAGAGCTGTCAGAAGAAGTTCCCAGCAGAGCTGGCAGTGGAGACTGGAACTGCTCCACTGATATAGAAGACCAACTATGAGGAGCAACCCRAGCAGTGCTCCAAGCATCCGGTGTGCGTCCTGCCCTGCTAACTGTTCCCCAAATAGCCAAACCCCCTCTGCAGGCCCTGCTCATGGTGCTCCCATTGCTGCTCCCCCTAAGCGCACCTGAACAGCGACTGAGAGYTGCACACAGGTACCAGCTGCTCCACACCAAGGTGTCCTCCCCAACCACAGTGCCCCCAAGTCCCTTCCCACAAGACTACAAGCTCGCCAGGGCACCTCACAATAGCAGTTCTCTTGGCTCATGAATGCTATTACACACTGCCACAGCCCTCACAACACGTAATTTTGATGTTGCTAAAACCTTTTTGCCCTACACCCAAAAGTTCAATTCAAAGCAAAAAGAAGTGGCTTACAAAACAAATAATTCTAACCTAGTTTAGTTGATTTTTATGTAAATGTGCAATCTAAATATAAATGTTTTGTTCATCAGGAGGAAGCTGTGATTACATGATTTGACTGGCAGGAGGATTTTTGGCTACAAGCTCCGTCCTAAATTTGTAAGATGCTCAAGGGAACTTCACATCTCCATGTCATGCCACGTAAAATGTCTTGTTATCTCCAGCCACAGAACTGGTATTTTCAAAGCACCATATTTCATCGTGGGTTGGGGCAGTGACATTTTTGCCTCAATTTATCAGTTGCTCTTAATGCATTTCCTTTTTTTTTTTTTTTTTTTTTTTCCCCCTCTATTTTTAGCACCGTGGCTCCTTCATTTGTAAAGGGAAGAGATGAAGGGGACCTCCCTCTTCCTTTCCAGGCTCTCTTATCCCAGACTCAGAGCTCTGCAGCTGGGCAGGCAGCACAAATACCACCAGCCTACAGTACTTGTCTCTTTATGCAACCATTCTCCCTGCAGCTCACTGACCACTCTACACTGGCAGCAGAACAAATGCAGGTTTCAAGTTAGCTATCTTGACTGGGAATTTAAAAGCCTCCCAATAAGCTAAGTGGCCAGCTCCTGTTGGAGATCAATACATTTGTGGCATGCGCATTCCCCACATGTCTTGGGAAATCACACTCAATCCCTGTTAAGGCTCTTAGTTAGTCTGAGAGTCATAAGCTATGCGTATGTAACACGGGATATACGCTCAGGAACTGCGTATGCACCCTCAGCATGAAAGAAATTTAGAATGGCAACTCAATCCTTCCTTACATACATGCACATGACTAGCTCTAATCATTTAAATAGTTCATTATAAAATGTGGAACTTAAATTTAAAAATACACTATATAGTAAAGGTGTCCTTTAGGTGTCCTCTCAGAAGTGGTAAGGTTCACGTTCCTTGATTTAAGTTTTTGAAAGCATTTAGATTGTGACATAGAAGTCCAGGTCACATATTTGTTAACCACACAATCTATGATCCCAGAAATAAGAGTAGAATTTTGCCACATAACAATTTCATTCCAGACTATTCAATCATCATCTTCAACCATGATCTCCAATCACAATCAAAGAACATCTCTATTTCCACAAAAGAGCTCCATTCAGAAGCATCTGTTGTATTTTAAGTATCTTATGTTAGAAAATAGGACTGCCTTTACATTCATACAGCACTCCATTTGAAGGGCTCTGATGCTTCCTGTCTCTTTGTGGATATAAATAATAATGATGCTAGTGAWGATATAAGATACTGTGATTCTTCAGAAAGCAGGACAAGCTATTTGAGGAACAACAGACATAAAATTGCAGAGTAGCTGAAGCATCCTCTCTCCCTGAAGGTGACTGGTGCAGAAGTTAAGAGCAGGGTGCTGAAAATGTTGGCATCTGAGAAAGCCCTCAAGGAAGAGGTGGGCCATTTCCTTGAGGCACAGCTATCTTTTTTTTTTTTTTTTTTTTTAAATAGGACTGATTCAGTCAGTATCAGATATGCTAAACAGAACATTAGTTTAGACGTTGGACATTTTTTCCCTTGCATAACAACACTTCCCACAGCGTTCCACCAGCTTACCAAAGGTAACTGCGTGACAGCTAATACCTCTGAGCTGAATGGCACCCCCTTCTGCTAAATATGCCTGTCCCCAAAGGAAGGAGGTAGAAAAGTCCATGAGAACCTTCCTCCCAGTTTTCAAAACAGTCACTTTAAATTAAACTGCTAAGAATGGCTGTTTAAAGTAAGGAGACTCACTGCAACAGATGAGAAATGTCATTAAAGGCATTAAATTCTGAAGACTATGACTTCCAAAATAAGAAGTGTCTTAATAGTCATTTGTGAGAACAAATAGGAGTGGAAGAAAAATTAAAAAAAAAAAAAAAAAGAGATAGATGGAAAGAACTCTTCTTCAATTCTTAGCCAAATAAAAATGAAGAACGGTTTATACAGAACAAGTCATATTGACTAGGGTCTGAGGAAGTGCCAATGAGAGCTGGTGGAGATGAACCAATATTTGTACTTCAGGGAAACTTTGACATATTGCTACAAAACAGACACTATATGACAGCTTTTTTAAAATTCTAAGCAAACTTAGAATCAGTTCACTAAGGCTATCCATGAAAAAAAAATGTTTAGAAACAAATCAACAGATAAATGCTAAGAGAACAAGAAATATTCCTAATTGTGTTCTTGCCCCAAAGCCATCACTCAGTGGAAACAAACTTTTTTTTAACTACAGAAACCAGTTCCTGCTGTAGTTGCTATTCATAAGCAAGGAATGCAATGGTCTGAAAATATAAACAGAGACTCATCATTTCTGGCCTAAAGTTCTGTGAAATAATCAAATGTATATATTTCAAAATGAAAAGAAATAGTTAATTTCTTCAAACCTTACCCAAATAGTCAAGGCATTAATTCTCTAGAAGATCTACAGATTCATCTATACCATCTAGCCTAGCTTGGTTCTTTTTCCTGTTTTGCTTAATTAACACTTGAAGAAAGTATACTGTAAAATCCAGTTAAACCATTAATGTTTTAGTTTGACAGCTTTTGAAGCTAACTGATTAGCAGCTCCTTGAGCAACAAGATGATGTGAAAATAATCGAGCCAATAAAATAAAATCCTATGAAAATATAAACAAATTAAATGATAATGTAAAAAACAATTTATTTGAACTACAAGTAAAAACTTCAATGTCACTGTCAATGTTCAGTTCAGTATCAAAAGTTTAATAAATAATGCACTTTGCTTCAAATTACATGGGTCACTAGCACTATGGCCATTTAGAAATATTAATTTGCATTTCTCATTAATAAGTTATTCTGTTCTCTGATGTGAAAATATTTCATAAACACATAAATTTCAATGCATATATTTGGCTGTGGTATTTCAYCTGTCAACAGTCTTCTACAGCAACCACAGTTGTCAAAGATCTAATACTATTGTACTATTGTCTGTTAAGATTACATTTGTAATCCTGTTAATTTAATCTTCTTACCCTTCTACTTTTTTCTTTACAAATGAATTAAATCATCATTGTTGTATTCTCTTCTCTTATAGTTTCCATGATAGATCACAGATGTTTTGTTCTTGGGAAAAAAAAAAAAAAAAAGTTAAAAGTTAAATATTTCCAGGTTTAGGACAAAAGACAACAAAAAAAAAGAATGATCAGTTTTCATCTTCATCTTAGTGACAGCTCACGTGGCCTCACAGATAATTTTTCTTTCATCCTTTGCTTTAACCCTYATTTTTCATTCTTTAGAATAATAATATGACAACCAAGCCTCAGGGTATGCTTCATTTCCTTTTGCGTTCTTTTTTTTCCCCCTTTTTTTCCTTTTCCTTGCCAATACTGGATACAGCCACATATGATTCTTTTTTTCTGTTTCATAGCTTAGTGGAGCTTCTGCCACAAAATCCATATAGCATATACAAAGCTGTGATACAGGTTCATACATTCATTCCTCRTTAGGTTATCTACCTTTGCCTGTCTGTAATTCAAGGTAAAAACTAACTACTACTACACATACTGATTTATAAATGAAACAGAAAAAGAAATAACCATCTCCCCTG